CATATGGACAGCCTTAAACAGGCCTGTATAAATCACTCTTTATGTGCTGCACTTTGTCAGGCTGTCTAAGAGCTTTGTACACAATGTATACATCTCCTGTAACCCTGTCAAGAGCTTAGTGTTAAGTCCAATAACCCTGTTTAAGTGTTTTGTGGATGGATGGTAAAGCTTTTTCCTCTCCCTCTCTTCCTCCGCTACCAAAGCTGACCAGGGGGAGGATGCAGGCGAAACCTGTGGCAAGAAAGACCTCCTCAACATCTGTGTTTATCCTCGAGCTAAAACCAACAGGCTATATTTACTCCAGTCAAACATACCCAGCACAGAGAGGAGGTAAGAGGAAAAAGATGTAGCCTGGATGTAGCCTTTGCTTCGCCCGGGAGTCTCATTCTGTCTTATAACCCAACTGAGAAGATCCTATGCACTGAGAATAACATACAGAGAAAGAGTAGCACTGTTGGCCGCATACACATTTACACGCATGCACTGTGGTTCTCTGATTCATCCTCCTTCTTGATAAGAAAACCCAGATTGGTAAACAACACCTTGAGGGAATTTGACCTCTGGAGGAGTGAGAGGAGGAAAAAACGACAGGCTCGATAGATCACCTGCCTACATAGAAAATGTTTTATAGCTGCACAAAAGGCCATAAAGCAGAGACTCATTTCAGGAAGCATGGTGTGCTCCTCTTTCTATAAATCTCTGACCTCTTGACACCGGCATACTCGCTGACTTATGGATCAGACCCTCAAGGGAGGCGAATACATCAAATAGAGTGGGGACAGGGGGCTGTAATACTGTTGGTGGTCTAATGGCGTTTCATCTTAAGCTGTACACCTGCACTCTGACTAATGCCCATGAACAACGCAGGTCTACTGAATGCACATTCAACCTGTGTTTGCCCCATTTAACATTGTCAGACTCACCAGTAAATCTCTTGAACAAAAGTAAAACTTCCTGGACATTATCACTATCTCAGTTTCTGCTGGTACATTTTTTCAGCGTTTAAATCTGCTCAACCTTCATCAGGTTCATAAACAAACATCGTCATATGACAGAATTACATAAAACTTCATTACATAATAAAATTAAATTTCTGCAGGCATGCAGGTTCTCGCCCACACGAAGCACTCTCGGTTTCTGTTTTCCTCTTCTGTCCATCTCATCAGGCAAGTCTGGTTTTGTTTAAACATCAACAACATAGATTTTATTTTTCGACAATATTCTGATCTGTATAAGATGTCTGTAAATGTAGAAGATAATATTTCATTTTAAATCTAATTAAATGCTAAATAAACTGGTTACATTTTCAGTTTATGTCTTTTTTGTCTAATTTCATTGCCTTACGTAAAGCACTGAACTGATGAAGGTGGTGTTCCAGTAAACTTGCCTCGCTTTGGATGTCTATACACATTGTTTTCAGTTTTAAATAGATCTGTGTTCAGTCTTTATAACACATAACTATTGAGTTTTATTACTTTGCTTCTGTCAATGTCCAGGGTACCCTATATTCTCACAAATATGTACCAGTTGACTCACACATAATACTATAAAACACAAGTTCATTAAAGTGAATGAATAACCCAACTGTAATCAGGCCTGGTTGGGTTGAGGCTGTAATGATCCATTCAGAATACCACTGATACGGGTCAATGTGGCCTCACAGTGTTGGTTTGTAAGGAGCATAAACCAAAAGCATGAGGCAGCAGTAAACACAGAGAGCAGCTTGAATTATTCTTCAATATGAAACAAATGTCTGGAATGTCAGCAGACGATGGCTCTTTAACTCAAGTTCAAGACAATACTAAATGTTCACCCCCTTAAAACACACAGAGCTGTCACTATGAACCCTGACACAGACCAGATGGCATCCTTAGCCTTAGGTATCATCCTCCCTCCCTGTGGCCTATCAGGATACACCCAATAAGTGTGATGCATGTTGTTTGAACTGCCTGGATGTTTGTGTGTTCTTGCACACACTGCGAGAATACACATTTGTTCATTTCTATTAAGCTTTATTTAACAAAGACGCCTCCAAGGATTAAATCGAAACCTGGCAAGAGACGTTTTGTTCTAAAATTACAAACAGCAGGAGGCCTGCCAAGGTGTCGCGGTTGGGAAAGGAGAACTTTAACCAGAGCTGGAGCCAAATCACCATCTTTGCTGCCTTGTAAATATGGTAAGAGACCTTCTTGGAAAAACCCATCAGACAAATAAGGAATAAAGGAACGGGGGGGGGGTCTAGATCTGATGAGTCACCCCGACCATGATATGACATGGTGATTCAATGATATGTTTACAGGTGAAATAACTCAGGTGTCCCTTATTCAGCTCCCTTTGAAGACAGGATCCTTTGTTCCCACAGCTGTCTGCACTAAAACTACAGCATGAGTGGTAGAAAATATGAGATGCTCCTCAACATCAGACTGTGAGCAACTTTCATCTGGTACCCAGAGGAGCTGACTACAAGCTGACTGCTGGAGGGGATTCACAGCCTGTGACGTGGCTCCAAAGTTATGAAATTGGATTAGATAAGCATAGATAATGTAATATCATAATAAAAAAAGATAGAGAAGAAGAAAAGAAGAATTAAAAAGAATTAATCATCAAAATAATTGCGGTGTGATATCATCATTGCATCGCAGTGATATTCATGCTATCTCCTGTGGGTTTGCTTCATCTCTTGGAATTCACAAGCTATTGTTGCTTCCAATAAATCCATCAAAAACTGCTTGCAGGGATGCACTGCTGCATTGACTGGTTTAATATGTCATTCTGAACAACACATGTATTGCAGATGTTTTTACACAGCAATCAATTTACATGTAGAAGGGTAGAGATTTACAAAAGACAAGAAAAATGTCTATACAGTAAGAGTGTAGTGAGCAAGAGTATAGTTTGTGAAAAGTAACGTGACCTCAAAGATGGAGAACAGCGTATCTGATCCAAATATAATTGAGCATCTACAGTACATACTCAATAATTGTAGCGAGCTTTGGATTCTCCACTGACAAAACGTAGTCCATATATATTCCATATATTAGCTTCATTCTGCTTCTAACGTTTTCAAGCATCCATGCAAAGAATGTAAATGTTTTCATTTTCTCCAAACACACAGCGTCATGTAACTGAATCTCTTAGGCTGCTGCCCAGTCTCTGACAAGATGAACCCAGATTTACCATATGGAGAACCATGTCATTACTATTCAGCATGAACTTGACTGTTCAGATCTGTACTGTCTGCTTTCAAATCAGATTTGCTCGCAAGCAGAAGATCAAGTGCAGGATTCCCCCCATTGTAAAGCAAACACTGGGCAGTGCCATGCTCAACAAATACTGTTGGAGGCATTGACGGATTACTCTATGGACCTACGGAGCACTGGCTCAGGGAGGCCCTGGACCAGAACCTCAGTATGAGTGCCTGCAAATACTTTTTGTTGGAAAGTCAGTAAATTACTATAGAGACAAAGAAAAGAGACACAAAATAAGGACAAAGAGACACAAATGGACCACAGAGAGACATGAGCAGGCAAAATAAGATGTGTAACGACAGCAAAGAGATGCAGAATGAGCTAATAGAGACACAAGATGAACATAGGGATATAAAAAACAACTACAACAAGATAAAATGACCACAAAGCGACGCAGAATGATCACAAAGAGACGAGAAACAACAATTAAGAGACAGGGAAGGATCACGGAGAGAGACAGAAAGCCACAAAAACAACCACAAAGAGACGCCAAAAAAACCCAAACAGCCACAAAGACACATGCAAACTACTAAAACAACATCTCTTTGATTCTATGGCTCCTGCTCTTATATAGGAGGCATGGGGGGTGGGGGGGGCTTTTACATGCCTGCGCCCAGGACCCCAACGTCTCCCATTATCCGCCCGTGGTTACAGGCGTGAAAGAGGTTGGATAACCAGGTTAAGACACTTGGTCGTTCTTAGATTTTCCCTGGTGATATTTATTCCATTAGTTCCAGATGGGAGACAACACAGAGTAAATGATGCCCGGAATATGTGCAGCGCTGCCGTGCTCTGCTGCTCAGGCACGACTGATCCATCATCCTGATCCTCGACGTGTCATTTCCTGAGGGCTTGGGAACACAGCAGCAACACGGGGGATCTCTGTGGAAGGGAGACGACACGGCGAGGCATCATCACCTCCCCGTTCAGAGCCAACACACAAACACACACACAAACACACACACATACACACACACACGCTGTGCACTTGCAAAATTCTGCTGCGCGCTGTGCACACAGGTCTTTTGACAGCTCAACAGTCTCCATGCCCAAACATGCAGGGACAAGATCACCCTCCTTTTATCACCACGATTAAAACACGTTGCACAACCCATCACGTCAAACCGGTGCCATTCACAACTAATGCAAAACTCCCACCAACAAAAGAAACGTGTGCGTAAACAGCCTTTCGTTGGGCTTCATTGTCAAACAAATCTCCAGCCGAGGCAACTTCCGATTGCAGCACAACTACTCGAAATTCAAAGCGCGTCCAGGCTAACTAGCTGCGCTCCCAAACAAAGCTCCCATTGTCTGGAACTTGTAGTTTTACCGTTTGCTCTTGGCCCTCCCAACTGTGATTAACTCAGGTACGAAAGAACTACAAACCCGAAGTCTGCAAAGCACCGCGGGCATGCGCAGTCGAGCCCTGGCGACGAGGGAGGTTGTGGAATATTTCGTGGCTAATGCATTTTTGCGGGTAGCGCCGTGTTTGAGGCTGTAAATCCACTCTGTTGAATGGCCGGGGGTCGGAGCGAGGCACGGGGCCGGTGAGAGAGGCTCCGGGTCGAGCAGAGGCTGCCGGCTGAGCCGTAGTAGCGCGGCGGCTCTCCGCAGTGAGCGAAGTTGGTCGGCTCGGCGGCTCCGTGTTTGCTCGCTAACGTTTTAGTTTCGCTCGTCACTTTTCTGAATCGCCCGCACTGTTGAAAGTAAAAGAGTTGACAGAAAAACCATGAGAGCACACACACCGCTCACCTGACGCCGCTCCGCTGCTTCCGCTCGCCTCCTAATCCGTTAAATGACTCCTCCAGACACCGAGGAAACACTCGCTGACCGACGGTCGACCGGCCGCTGCTCACCGAGAGAGACGCTGCCGAGAATGTTCAACAGTCAACCGACACCACGGAGGAGCTGCGCCCGCTGTCACTGCGCATGCGCCGCTCCGCTTGGTGCAACCTACTGATAGTAACAGACAGGGGGCAGCACACTACTACTACTACTACTACTACTACTACTGTGGACATGTATACAGTAAATACACTTCATACACCATATATAGTATACACTACATACATATACAGTATATACACTACATACAGTAAATACACTACATACACCATATATAGTATACKCTACATACATATACAGTATATACACTACATACAGTAAATACACTACATACACCATATATAGTATACKCTACATACATATACAGTATATACACTACATACAGTAAATACACTACATACACCATATATAGTATACCCTACATACATATACAGTATATACACTACATAAACATACAGTGTGTACACTACATACAAATATGATAAATACATTACATACACATACAGTATATACACTTCATACACATACAGTATATATACCACATACACATATAGTGTTTAAACTAGATACATATACAGTATATATAGTAAATACAATATAAACTCAATGGGAAGTTTATAAACTCATGCAAACCTGTTATAAATCCAACCTGTCTTTTATAATGAAAGGGTTCCTGTTCAGGTGTTTTACTGTTTCTTTCCATTTTCTTCTGCTTTATACTTCTATTCCACTTTTTATATTTTGATAATTTTGGTTAAGAGTTACTTCCCTGTTCATTATGAATTTAGATTAATATTATGAAATGCAATACATATTCCATATTAAATACTATAAACATAAATATAAGATTAGAGAAGCATTTTCTATATTTATCACATCGTCTGATCAAACTGTATGCCTCCTTACAAATTAGCCAATAGCACAACCTTGTGGTTGGTAAACATCATCAGTCCTCTGATGCCACCTGGTATCCCTCAAACTAAAACTACTAAGGGATACCTTCAGATGTTTAGTTGATGTCAAAATGCACAACACAAAAACATATCTTAAACCACACTTTTGTTGTACTTTTGTTTTGATTTGATTTTTTTGTTTCAACCATGATTGTGTTACTCAAGATGCAGATACATAGGCAACATGTGACATTTACAACTTTGTTTCTGTCTTGTCTTACAACGAAAAACCTTTACTTAACAAAAATATAATTTCGGACAAAAAACAACATTAAGAGTTAAAAAAAAATAAAAAATAAGATAAAGAGTTGTTTAAACAAAGAAATCAGCAACCTGGTGCAGGAAGACTTCCTCGAAGAGTTCGAGAGAGTCTAATCCAAATCAATTAAGAAAAGGGAAACCCACCAAGGCAGTGGCTCACTGGCTACACAGAAAGTCGCAGCTTTGACTTCCAGCTTAGGCTGCTGTCCTGTAAAAGTGTAATCACCACAACTAACTGGAGGATTGGAGAGGAGAACAGAAATACAAAATGACTCAAACCAAAAGGAGACCATAAAGAAATACAAAACAACCACAACGAGGACTGGATTGTTGTAAAATGTTCCACGTGATCCTTTTAAGAAAGTGAGGTCTCAAAGAAAGAATCAAAAATAACTATTAAATAAGAGGTGGACCAAAGAAGCAAAAGGTATTTCAGATCTTATAGGTCCTGCACAAATACAGAAAACCTGGAGAACTATGTATCAAATGATACCAACACTTAAAAACAATTTATAGGCCAATAAACCACCAGTGGAAACTCTGTATCTCACCCATTAGACACCAGGGGTCAGTACAGCTTAAAATTTGATGGTTGTGAATACTATACTGTACATTCTCTGAATAACCCAGCGATTAATTATGTAGTAAATTGCAATAAACTCCTGACATTGTTTTGTTTTTTTTTTTACAATAAATGTACTTAGTCAATAAAGTCAACAAGACTATTACACTGTAACATGCAGCCCAGTTGCTGATCCAAGTTCTGTGTTTATTGTTTTCTTCCTCATCAGTGTGCATCGACCATGTCATATCACGACAATTTACAAAAACATGTGAAGCTTAAATTAAACTGTATTTTATAAAAACACAATTGTATTAGAAATTGTAAAGCTTGAAATTAAAATACAAGTACTTAAAATGTATGTTTGAATACAGTATTCGAGTAAATGTGCTTGATTACCTCCCATCACTGCTCACCATTTCCCTTCATATTTCTTTTATTATTTTTATAATGTTAGTTATATGAGCTGTCAGGATGATGTAGGTCAGCAGGCGATACCCTCGAAACTACATTTCCCACAATGCACCAGCGCACTCTCGGCGTGAAGTCCTGTCTCCGCCCTGTCTCCGCCCTGCCCCCTGATCTGCACACACACGCTGGGCGGTAGTGCGCAGACGAGCCGGTTCACCGCCACCATCCATATTATTTGTACATCAACGAAAGCTAGATCCTCGGCTCGCTCGCGTCATGTGAACCGAGCACCGGCGTGTTTGGATGCGGAGTCAGTCCCCCACACACACTGACAGCTAGGTAATGTCACGCCTCACAGGAGGAGGAAGAGCCTGTTTGGATGCGATGGAGCCGCGGACAGCTGGCTGAGCAGCGGCCGCAGCGCAGGGACAACCGGGAGAGGTTCGTGTGACCCGGATCGGGATACGGTCGCTCGGTTTCGGCCCGTGCTGGTCCTTGTTATTCGGATGCAACCACACACCCATGCGATGATATCGGTGGATAGCTCTGCTGTCAAAGTCCAGGTTCGGTTATTATAGTAAACGCGTTATAGTAAAGTGTTAGAATAAACAAGGCTGTTGTAGTGGAAGACGAAAGCTGGGACTGGATACTACAACATAGCCTATAATTAACGTTATTATTATTATTATGGGGTGTCGACCCGTTGATAAAGGCGACATGGAAATGGAGTGGATCTCTTCTTCATAGCATTATTATACTGTAATGCTGCTGCTGCTGCTGCTGCGATGCCTCCATGCAAACCTTCACTGACTATATTCTGCGCCTTATTTCCACCGTGCGACTGTTGCTGTCGTGGACATCTAAAAATTCAATTGATTAATTGATTGGTGATCTGAAACTACAATGTGTGCAGAGAGAGCAACAGTATAACGAGCAGAGCTGTCTGCAGCATCCCTTCGCCGCTGCACAACAGTCTCTCCTCCGGTCCAGGACCCGTCTCCATCTCAAATGTAGCCCGGCAGAGGCGACTGAAGCAGGCCGCTTCTCACACACACACGCAAGCGGGTAAGCTGTGCTCAGACTCGGCTGGATGCTGGACGCGGTGCCCCTTTGCAGCTCTGTAGCGCCGGATACCTGCAGCCCTCCCAGTTCCTGCTTTCTCTAATTCCCCCCCAGCTGTCTTAAAATGGACGGGGCCTTTTGGTAGAGGCTATTCGGGGACGCTGAACCGGCTCCGTGCATGCAGGATTTAGCCCGGACCGGCTCGGGCTCGTCGGGGTGTAGTGCGAGCATCCGAGGGTTTTTCCAAACGCAGCATACAGAAGAGGAAAAACGGTTCATATTCAAAGAGATGGCAGGCGGAGGAGGTGTGTCTGCTCTGGGCTCTATGAGAAATAATGAGGACCCTTGCTCAGAGGATTTCACCCAGCTCACTCACAGACTGCTGTTTTTATTGGCCCCATAAATAGACTATATTCCATACTAAGACGAATCCTACAATCAGTGTCTCTATGGCTCTCAGAGTCAAGACACTTTAGTATCAATGGGATGAGGTTGTGTGTTTTTTAGACCAAGATGCTCAAAGCTGTAATCAACCCATATTTAGCTTTTGTTAAATTTTGCAATTTAGGGAATCCATAACAAGTATGCAACTGTATTGTTAACTCTGGATTTGTCTCTGTGAACAGGACCTTGTCACGCCGACTATTTCTTTCCAAAGGATTTCAAGACACCTGCTGCTTCTTAGATAAACATGTATTCACATCTACTGTGAGAGCAGCTTTTTAAAGGACTCCATCGTGGAAACAATCAATGAGGTTTCCGCGGGGTTACACTCATAGATCTGCTCTGCTCAGAGTCATTGTTTGACCTGATGTACATTGTCCCTAAATGAACTTGCCTTTGGGAATACATGCTACTTACACACTGCATAGCAACAGCACAGAAGCAACCAGTGACAGGATTTGGCACAGTTTCAGCAGAGAGATGTGGTGATGGGGGGGAGCAGTTTCGGCTCTCTGATCCTCTGATCCCTTTTCCCCCCCGCTGGTGGTCGAGGACACCTCATCTCAGTCAATGGGCTCTGTATGGATTTTGTGCCTAAGTTGACAGAGGACAGGCCGACAGCGTCAAAGAGCAGCCAGGCTGCCATGAACCCATACGGCAGAGCGAGCAGTACAGCAGCCCCCCTGTCCTGCACCAGCTGTGGGGGCTGCTGCTCCCCGCCTCCCCCCTGCCTAATCCCACCTGGGCCCCCCTCTACTACCTCCTCCTCTTCCTCCATGCCCCCGAATATGACCCCTCCGCCGCCAATGTGTCCAGCTCCAGTTGTCCAGGTGGAGAACGGCAGGAGTTGGAACTCCTCCACCATCTCTTCGTCTGGCTCCCCAGACTCTCACCCTGGTCACCGCTGTGGAGCCAACAACCCCAACCCCTACTGGACGGCAGTGTTTGACTATGAGGCCACAGCAGATGAGGAGTTAACCCTGCGGCGTGGGGACCTCCTTGAGGTTCTCTCCAAAGACTCCAAAGTGTCCGGGGACGAGGGTTGGTGGACAGGTAAGATCCAGGACAAGGTGGGTATCTTTCCAAGCAACTACGTCACGAAAGGGGATGCTGCCAGCTACCAGCAGCTGGCCGTAGGTGGACTGGTGGCAGGGGGGGTGGGTGAATGCCCCTTGGAAGTACATTTCTCTGAACTGCTCCTAGAGGAGGTGATAGGAGCTGGTGGATTTGGGAAAGTATACAAAGGAGTGTGGCTAGGAGAGGAAGTGGCTGTAAAGGCGGCTAGGCAAGACCCTGATGAGGATATCAGTGTCACAGCTGAGAGTGTGCGCCAGGAGGCCCGGCTGTTCTGGATGCTCCGGCACCCCAACATTATTTCATTGCGTGGAGTCTGTCTGAGGGAGCCCAACCTGTGCCTAGTGATGGAGTACGCCCGAGGAGGGGCTCTGAACCGGGCCCTTGCTGGAAAGAAGGTTCCTCCGAGGGTACTGGTGAACTGGGCGGTCCAGATTGCCACAGGGATGGACTACCTGCACAACCAGGCATTCGTACCAATCATCCACAGAGACCTGAAGTCCAGCAATAGTAAGTACTGCAATCAAGTGTAATTTGTCTTTACTGTAAATAAGTAATATACATTATAATATGGCATTGTTGAAGTTCTATTAGGTTTAATTATAGGGTCAAGGCTCAGAAACATCTGTAATTGTACCCACCCTCAATTCTTAGCACAGGGGCCTTGGATGGGACATTTTCAGGGGCTCTCAGCCATGTCTCACGGTTTTCATCAGTTGTCATGAAGATGTTTAAGTTGTTATCACAAGACTCACATGACTGCAGGTGGGAGCATTTGGGTGGGAGTTTGAATTGTTATCACATGACTGCAATGTATCGGAAGGAGTACTAAAATTAAAAATAACTTGTGCAAGTTACACTTTTCAAGGTCATTACTGAACCTTCAAATATGAGGGGGATGTATAAACATATATGGTCAGTAATATCGACCCAGATATGACAAAAATTATTCAGCAAATATAGAAAATACATCTGTAGTGTCCAAGCTTTGGTATTTTCTGAAGCAATGTACACACGGTTAACAGGTTATTGTTACTGAGAAGATTGATGCCACACTCAGTTCCTATAAGCATGGTAAAGATGAACCTAAAACCTAGTATGTGACAGATTATTGTGGAGTCTAATGATCTCCTGGCTATAACTACATATTCACCACACAGATGTTGAAGGGGTATCAATGTTTTCATATAACAATTGGCAAGAAAGAGATTAACTGTTACTTCACTAAATATGATTTAAAATGCAAATAGCACAGACGAATAATTTATGGTATTTAAGATTATGGGAGAAAACCCAGATAAGATAAAGACCTTGTACAAGTAATACATTTGTTGATAAAACAGTTGTAAAAAGGGCAATGTGTTACTTTATTGAGTAATTGTCCCACTTCTGATATTGAGCTGTTTGCAGTCTAGAGGCTTGATGTGTGGTCGCAGTTATTCCTCTGTACATTTAGTTGTGGACTGCCATATACAGTATGACAGATAAGTGGGTATAAATGTAAAAACTATAATAACCAATGGTTTTGTGAATTGACACATTGTCATTGAATTCCAGGGCAAAAAGTGAGGGTTTAGGACCCCAGCTGAGAAACCTAAATTGAACACAGCAGATATGGCTTCAGTCCTGGAGAGCTGGTCCATCTCTGCCATCTTTTCCCCAGTCATCTCTTTCTCTGCACCTCCTCCTGCCTCTCCTCCTCCTGCCTCTCCTCCTCCTCATCCTCAAGGAGAGCAGTTCTGCTCTGCAACTCACTGTGCTATTTTTGGTCCTTTGTGCTACTTGCTGTTTAAAGACGCAGTTGCAGTTGTTGGTGCATCAAAGAAGTAATACACATTGAGCATCTTAAGTGCATTTGTGTATGCGTGTGTGTGCCGGTCAGACTGTGATGTTTATTCCCACTGAAATGAGTGATGGGGGAGGGAGTGTTCAAATATGGGTGGAGTGCGCAGGATGCTGCCTAAAGGCCTTTTAAAGAGGGAGACATCAGAAGTGAGTGGAGCTTAAACACACTCGCAGCTGATCTGCTGAAATGTTTCCTAATCTTCAGTCTCACTCTGTCTTCTTGAGTCTCCCACTTTTCAAATGTGCACACCCAGCTCCCATCTCCTCCCTGTGCGGCTCTCACTGTAATGATGAGGGATCAGATGGGTATTGGATGGCAGAGCCTTGGCAACAACACCACAACGCTGCCTTACCATGGTGACATGGGCACTGCTTCTGTGTCACTGAGTCATACAGCTGCTAGCCGCTGTCAGCTGCGGCACAAAATGTCAGTCCCCCAATTTAGAGTATTGTCTGTGTGAAAATAGCAGCTGAGGAAATGCAGGAAGGTCTCAGGAAGGGTTTGGGCCCCGTGTTCCCCCTGAACCTTAAATCTTACTAAAAATGTGTGGGTGCTAATTGTTAAGTACGCAATTATATGACTCACACTCACACTGAGGGATGTTTGCATTAGTCTGGCGATGCCCAGAAGGAGGAAGCATCAGAGGAAAGTGAGTCAGAGGAGAGAAGTAGCGAGTGAAAGGATTGTGAGAATAACAGGGTGAAGAATAGATCAGGTTGTTGGGAGAAAATAAGCTCGGGGAGCAGAGTGGAGATGTATGAAGCCAGAGAGGAGACTGATGGGAAAGAACAAGAGAAGCAGAGCGTGGGGGATAAACAGCGGTTCATGTCAGTTTAGGATTACACCTCAGCTCATTGTCCAGGTGCGCTGGTCTCAGGTATCCTCTTCAAACTGCCGACCACTTGGCATCAGTGTGGTTACAGAGCAGGCCCCCAAGCTCCTCCTCTGTCTTCCATCAGCCGGCTCCTTCGCTCAGTAAACAGCCTTTATTGTCCCCCTAAGAAATTCATCACTGCAAAACATGACACTGCTGCTGTCACAGTGAGCATGTGTTTGAAGCTTTAACAAACATTTTTACAACTCAGTAGATTTATTTTTGACTTGCTCCGATGCTTTCTTCTAAAATTATCCCATCCCCAGTTGACATTTTTCAAGGTGTGTCTGCAGCGAGCACGTGTGATTCAGTGTTTTAACCTGGTGAGTGTTGCTCACAGCGGGGAGTAACTGAGGCAGTTTGTGTAACGGGGGAATAATCTGATTACGATGACCTCCTTAGACTGATGTCACAGCATGTTTGTGGGTTGGCAGGTCACTGGCCCCGTGGACATGCCTTACCTGTCACTCTGATCCTGGATCAGCCTCCAGTTTCTCAAAGCATAGGGCACCGGTTATCCTGGATGGCTCATTTGACACATGGGATTAAAGCTAGCAGAGTGGATCACTGTAGACATAACAGATACAGTGTAGTGATATGAGATTGAGACAAGGCCTGCCATTGTCATCATTGATTAATCTGATTGATCAGTCACTGAGCTGGTGAATAAGGTCAGAGTTGACATGTGTTTGTTTGATCAGCAACCTGAAAGATTTTCAGTTTATTGTCATAAAATACTAGAAGATGAAACCAATGCATTTGTTTTGCTTATGAAACAACCTCGCAATCACATCTACAGACCCCAATTGGACTTTGGGAAGATGGAGTACCCGGAGAAAACCTATACAGACATAGGGAGAACATACCATCATAGCCCAATAGCCTAAATTATCTTTTCATAATTTTAATAATGCTTAACAATTATTTACTACAATTACCTTATCCTCAAGTGACTTATATAGATGAATAAATAAATGTAACCAATTTATTTGCAGCCATTCTCCAAATAAATAACACTTTGAAAGCACCAAGAGTCATCATGATAATTGGCTTTGTTTGTATTTCTCAACCTGAAATATCTCTGACTGTAGTCATCCATGACTCAGCTCCACTTGGAAAAGTTTATGACTGGTTACTTATTTGTTTGGGAATTTTAGCTTTAATTGGACAGAGACATGGATGATGGGTATGTGGGAAAAGTGAATTTGGATTTAATTTAATTTTACAGATCGCACAGTTAATGATCAATTCAAATTCCAACTTTAATCCTGAATAAGCTGTGTAGTAACAACAAATCAAACACAGAAATCACTTTGAGCTGAACAGGTCCTTCCTGAGCTTGAAAACAGCAGTCGTCCAAAAAGCCTCAAGTCAAGGTTGATTATGTTTTTCTGGATCTTTCAACCATTAAGACTGAGTCATGTTTTTTAAATTCTCTGAGAGCCATTGATGCTTCATGTGGAGCTCTGTAGAGGCAGAGTGTCAGCTGCAGGTAAGACGATCCAGGTGAGACGATCACCTGTTGCCAACAACAACCAAACCGGTCCATATGTACCTGTAGCCTGACACTGACTCACTGTGGACATTCATGTACATACAAAATATAACCTATGTTTGTCCTGTTTGAAAACATGTTTCCACCTTAATTATTTAGTTATTAAAACAAATTAATGTCTATATTTGATGTAGTTTTATTGCCCAAGATAAAGGTTTCTGTGATGTTAATGGGCAATGCAGAGGCTAATAGACCCACACAATAAAGACTGAGTGAGGTTGACATTATCTGCTGTTTTGACTGCCGCAGCTTCAAATGGAAGCCATGTTTACACAGTCAACACTCATCTGAATAGTGGGAGTGATGTATCTTGAAGCAGGCTCACCAAGTGTGCTGTAAACTCCCAGTGTTGACAAAGCAGGAAAAGACAAATTAATTTAGTGAAACTATCATTCACTAGGCCTGCTTTGTATTTCTGTTAGTCGATGTTTGAAAGTTGTGACCATAACATCAGCGGCAGCATTGTGAGTGGCGTAATAGCTACTTAACAGATTAGCAAGGCAAGATATGGTCATATAGTGACTGTCACTGAAAAGCCTGCATCTGGCTGTACGTGTGAGAATCTAAGAGTGAGTCTGTTGAGGAAAGGATTAGAGCGGTGGCCAGTGCTGGCTGCTAATCCCCCAGAGAGACGCCGCAGTGGAGGCCTAGACTGTGACTAACTGGACTAGTGCGAGTTAGCAATGGGAGGAATGGGGCACCAATAGAGGAGAAGAGACCAGTATTGTGTATTTGAGAAATGATATGTATGGATATGGCTTTTGAAGGCATCATTTTATATAAAATAACTATATAAATTTACAAACTGTGATGATTTAGACTAAATAACCAATTTATATTAAATTTGGTAATCAGTAGTAAAGGGATAGTTCACCGAAAAAATTAAAAATCACTCGGTGACTTATACTTATACTTATCCCAATCTTTAGTAGTTTCAGGGGTAAACGTTATTGCAACCAAAACTGATACAATTGAAGTATATACTTCAGATGAAATAAAACAACAGAAAAACATAACAACACTCCATACTGCTCATGTGATGCCATCCAGGTGTCCGCAAGCCCGACATTCATATTTGACTTGGAATGGTATTATTTACACTGTGTTTTAAAGTCTAAAAGTCCTCTGATAACGTCCTCCGAGGTGCATTCACACACCCTTCGGGCACACCATCGTGTGGCTACGTCCTCTAGTTTAGCCACTTCCGGCAGAGGACATATAGCCTCAAAACACAG